GTGTTCCCTTACACTTCACTCTAACACCTTCCACTAGGAGACCCAAGATATCAGGGTATGTCCAGCTTGCTCATAAAGGTCCAATGTCCTGCACGTTTTGATTCAGGTGCTTCCACATCCAAATCAAATGGCTGTATTACCTCTTCATGCAGTCATTTTTTCCAGAGTCCTGCTAATGAAGTGATTATTTGAATCATGTGTGTTGAAGCTGAGAAACATCTGAAAAGTGCAATACTTTAAGGATTAGAACCAAGGGCCCTACAATATTCCATTCAAGCTGAAATGGAGGATATAGTGGCACGTTCAAAATCCTACAGCTGTACACAGAACCATAAAAAGTTGGTTATCTTGGGTAAAAAGTTGTAAAAATGGGTCTACAAAGGAATGAAATAGCAAAAAGACAAAATTATGAGGGCCCTGCCAAAGCTTCCTGTCAAAAGGCAATCATTGACCTATATTTTCATGAAGTTGGATAGGCATTTGAATAAGAGGAGTTGTTAATGCCAACCCTGACCCATTTTTACAACTTTTTACCCAAGAGCGATCCTTGGGACCGTAACTCACCCAGCCAATGAGATACTGAAGGTCGCTGTGCTGTCGATGAAGGACAAATTATTTTCCTGACAAAAAATAGCATGTGTCTATCGATATCCAGTAAGGTCAAAAGGGGTCTAGAAGGAGGGCTAAAGGGACTAGAAAACAAAGGCTTGAGCAGAGAAACATGTAAAAAAAAGTATGAATCTTCCATCTTGGTCCCTGGTCAAGACGTAAAGAGATGGGGCTGAGAAAAGGGACAATATAACAGGCACAAATAAACCTCAAAGCAAGAAAGTTTCTTATTGAAAGCCTTGAGATTGATGTCACTTGTTGAGAGCCAAACCTCCTTACCTGGTCCAAGGTGTAAACACTGTGCACCTGAAATACATAGCGGTGAACTACCTGCGGGGCTCACGGAAATCACTGCATTCTCTGTGAATGCACCATAACACTGAGAAATCAACACTGAATAAATGTTTTCATTTCAGGTTCATGACGTCGCTAACATATGACTTTCATAATGAATGTTGATTCAACCGGTGGAAATTGACTGACAACTGGTACTTACAGACTTAAATAAGTTTTGGTTGAATTTCACTTGCCATCTGTGTAGCTTGATGGCCTGAAATGTAAATATTTCATCATGAAAATGCATTTTTTTCTTATCATACTCTATACCTTAAACTGCTCTCCACTTTTTAGCTCAATGTGCTCCTCTTCCAGTGACTACCAGACTCACTAACGGTGTCAGTAGCTAGTGCATTGTAGTTACCATAGCGATGGTTGGTGCTGATGATGGCGCGCATCACATTGCCCAAACCCTGGAGCTACTGTTTTATTAAACAGTCATGCTACTTTTGTCTCTTCAAATATAAAACACCTCAAAGTTTTTTTTTTGGGGAGACCAAGATCATCGTCCTATAGGCAGTTTCGGTTTAAATTATTTTTGGTTATATATCACAACTTAAACAATAAAAAATACTAATAAAATACAGAGGACCTCAGTCCTCAATGGTATTTACGGCCCTGGTAGCCTCTGCAGCCTCTCCTCCCTGAGAGGTGACATTATTATTGCAGTGATTGTTAAAAATTGGTTTGGCAAAAGGAGTACCTAAAAACTTGCTGGGTGTGCAGCTGGTAGGACTCCAGACCTACAGGCTTTGTCCAGTTTCTCTCACAGTCAACAAAGTGGCAGACCATCATAAGTTTACACCAGGTTTAAGGTGACATTTGTTACCATCCATCCATTCATCAACTGCTTGTCTGTCAGTCACAAGGGGGTGTTTCCTATCTCCAATAGTCTATGGGTAAAAGGCGGGGTACATTTTGGACAGAATGCCAATCCATCAAAGGACAACATTTGTTACTCATCCATCCATCTTCTAATACTTGTCTATCATGGTAGGGGGGTGGCTGGTGCCTGTTTCAATAGTTCTAAAGGCAAAAGGCAGTGTACACCATGGACAGGTTGCAAGTCCGTCTCAAGTCAACATTGCCCATTTTCTAAAATCTTGATTGCTAATCTTAAAACAGCCTGTTCCAAAGAATGCCACAAAATTTTAGGTTAAATAATAATACATCAGCTGTGCTGTGCCTATTACAAATTTGCTTACAGAATTGCATTGATAGCCAACTTTTGTCCTCTGAATTCTGAAAATGTACCATTTGACTCGAATTCAGCTTCTACAATATCTGTCAATTTCAAGGCCAGTTGAAGGCAACTGTAAATCATCACTCATACGTTAAGAAGAACCTGGTCTGGTCCCATCAGCCACTTAGATAAACTTATCAGAGTGAAAACATGGAGTCTGTGAAACTTTAGGGTGCTGTGTGCTTGTGTGGGGGGATGACTGAGACTCACGTCATGTTTCCTCTGGAGGTTAGAAATTCATGAGCCAGACAATCCACACCACAGTTCTTGGTTTGAAAGCTGCTTATCGTAGGTGGTCTGCTCCAGTGGGAGGTGGGTTTGGTTGGAGAGTAGGATGACATATGCTCCACAGTTTGGTGATAAAGGCCTTTAAATGCACACACAAGAATGTCAAAGGAGAAAAAACATGAATACAGTCCAAGGAAGCTTCATGTACTAAGAGATAAAATGAATGACTGGTGTCTTTGATAAAAGTGGAAAAAAAAATCCCAGTTTTCCTGGCTTCTTGCCCCTTCAGTAAAAGCAGTTTTTAAGTTAAAAGTTTTAAATCATAATTGGAATTTTGTACCCTCTTTCCCATATCCACAATTCCAAAGGCTGATCTTTGTGAAGAAGCAAAAGCTTTAACTTATATTTAACTTTTTAAATTTTTTTTCTGCAAAATTTCACTGAAGGCCAAGGGATGTGGCTAAACATTTCAACAAGGGGTTGCTACTTTGTGAATCAGGCCAAAGCAAACTCAAAGCTGGTGAAGAATGTAATCATTTATCTAAGGACCAGGGGTGACATGCTCAATTTGTTCCAAAATAGGTCTCTGTGGTGCCCACAAGGAGATAGAGAAAGCATGTGCATAAGTAAATGTGTAGGACAAGTTTTGTTAAGCTTCTGGACTACAACCAGAGGCCAGAGAAAAGATACAGTATTTTGTTTATTTAAAATTCCCCTTTGTTTAAAGCTCATGGAGCTAAGCATGTGGAAGTGTAGGGTCTTCTTTTGGTATTTACGAGTGCTTGCTGCCATGGAAGTTGAGTGGATTTTTGCTTATCTTAGATTCAGATTAATCCAGTAAAACTAGCACTTCAAAAGAACAAAACATGAAAGAACTACTAAGGAAATCCATTCTTTCTCATAGCGTCTAGCGTAGAGCCCCATCTGAAATGCCCCTGGTAATTGCAAATTACTGGGTATTTTATCGGATTCTGGTAGTGTGAAGCTTTCCCATCATTCCCTAAAGGCTTTTATGTCCCTATCGGTTGTGTACCAACCTACCAGAGCCTGTAGCTTGGTTGTTTAATGACTGCCATTAACATATCAAGATCTGCCAATGGGTGCTGGATGCTTTTTCCCACCCCTCCTACAACTTTCTCTGGATTGCCAAAATTGAAAAGGCTCCTTGAAGTCTTCATTTAGGCCCTTTAGGGAGCAAAGAACATTAAGGTCTAATTGGATTTGTTCGCATATTCGCTGTGTGGACATTATCTTACCATGTACCCATGACTATGCATCTTCCCTTTGGGTCATTGCTTATCTGTTAAAACTCTAAATAATAAAATATGAATAAAATAAAATTTGATTCACTTACATTGTCTGTTCCGAACATTGACTAATCTTAGTTTTGATAGTAGGTTGATGGCAATTTGTCTAAATGAAACTACACACAGTTGAAAAAAATAAACGCTGGTTTATGAATCTCAAGTAATCCATCAACTCTTAGTTTTTTTGTTTTCATGAGGAAAATATTTATGCAGATTTTAAAGAACATATTTATGCAGATTTCAAAGGAATCACCATGAACTATCAGCAGAGATCTCATCCCTTTGAAACTAATTTGTAGACCTTAGCAGCCTCATTGCATGGTTTTGTCTTCGAGCCTGGCTGCATCTGTTAGCATTTTGTTTGGTTTAGCTCAGAGCTCTCTGTGTGCTCCTGTGTGTGTGTCCATTTGAGCTTACATTCTGTTTACCAGATGTGCAACAGATAAAGGCTGTTGAATGGTACACTGTGTATTACACCATCACCACTTTAGCAATATGGGGTTAACAATGGTAATAAAGATGCAAAGACGGTGTCCTTGCCATGAACATGGCAGATTCTAAGTTTAAATAAAACTCAACAAAATTCATAACAAAACTATTGTTTGGTATTTTCTTGAAGTCACATTGTCAGAATGACACTGCAGAATGACAATATATGGCAAGCAACAGTATCACAAGAATAAAAAAAACAAAAAAGACAAGCACAATTGTGTAAAAGATGAAAAAATATTATAATGCCACTGTCCAATTACTTTGTGGTGAAAAGATATATATATCTTTTCATCAATCATCTTCTGCTTGTTGCAGCAGCCTCAATTTAGGAACCCAAACTTATATCTAGGGATCCAGGTGTCCAGCGGTCATCCTTTCCAGATGCCTGACTCACCTGAGGGCGCAGCAGCTCTATTCCAAGTCAATCCCAGATAGACGGACATCTCACCTTGTCTCAACGTGAAAGTCCAGTTACCCTGTGGAGAAAACTCCTTTTAGCCATCTGTATCCACAGTTTCATTCTTTTAGTTTACATCTTGTTATGATTAAATAGAGTTGTGAGGACATAAGCATTTTCAGTTAACCTTTAAGGTGTTGGGCCATAATGAAAAAAATCATCTCTGTGCTGGGATCATTTTGATTCATTTTGTGGCACCATATGTTTTTTAGTTAGGTATGTAATGAAAATACCTTATCATGATTCGTTCAATCTCAGTGACTGTTATCTACTTTTTTCCATGATTAAATCTTTTTCTGTTCCTTCATCTCTGTCCTTTTCTCTCCAGATTGAGAACCTGATGGAGCAGTTAAAGGATAAGGACAAACAGCTGGTTGGATTGAGAGAAAGGGTTCAGGGCCTTCAAACTGACTCAAGTAACACAGACACAGCCCTGGCTACCCTGGAAGAGGCTTTATCAGAAAAGGTATGAGGGGGACAAGGGGTTGGCAGGGCAATGCTATATTTGCATATTTAATTTTTGTTGTATTATAAGAAAGTTCACTTGTCTGGGAAATAATCAATATTGGTCCCCTTTTCATAATACAGACTTAGCCTATAGCAAAGTGTGAGATTAGATAATGTTATCGCTAAGTTTGATTCACAGTTATGAACAAATTGTAATGAATGTTTTTATGCTTTAGTGTTCTGTTATGGCAAAATGTCTTTACATAACAGATTTAAAATTTCCCCTGCTTTTTGCCAGATTATATTTAGCAGACATTTTCCAGAATATTAAATCATTGAGGGAAATAATCATTTTAATGCAAAAATACAGTAACTTTTGTATTAATGTTATATGCACAAAATAGACATCAAGCTAGTGAGTAGATTGGCATAGGATTTAAAGTAAAGAAAACAAACCTACACCACCTATAGCTGGGTTTCTGTTGTAAACATTCCTGAATTTGTTTGCTGACAACTTGGATGAGCATCTGGTGTCTATAAAGTCTTACCTCAACAGGAGTGAGGCATTTTTTACCAAATTAAACCAATTGCTTTTGCATAGCTCCCTAGTAGACACACAGTAAAAAAGTTTAAGCAATTAAACTCCTTTATCAGTTTTTATTTTTTGTCATATTGATTAGTTTATTTTTTATGAGCCTTCTAATACTTTTTGATGAGGGAGGAGTCACTGTTTCCTTCAGATGAAAATGGGATGAATATGATGTTACTTTGTTCTGACTATTATATAGCAGATGTTTCATTCCTGTCTTGAAATAATAATAATAAAAAAAAAAAATCATTGAACTCACTAGCTTGATGTCAGACTGTTTCCATCCTTCTTCTGTGCTCCACATTTTTCATACTAGCATTTCTAAAGGATTGGGTTTGTTTTCTTCAGGCTATAAAAAGTTTCCATTTTCACATTTGTACTCTAAGCTGAAAGATGATTACTGGTGTGTTATTTATTTGCTTTAGACTTCCTTGGTGAGACAGATGTGTACAGTATGTCCAACCAGTAAGCTTACTCACCAATAGAATAAACCTTTGGTGGATTTTTGATATTTTTGCATTAGTAATTATTTTGTAAGACTTGCTATGTCCTTCCAACTTTACTGTACAGTTAAAATAATCAATAAATCAGAATCAACTTTATCAGCTAAGATTGTATGCACTAACAAAATAATTCAACTTTTTTTCCCCATTGCTTACATAGTACTCTACTGTATAAATCCAGTGTGTAGAAAACACTTAAATTACTGTTTTAGTGCTTCCAATAACAGAACACCCTACCAGTGTGTTAATATTTAATTAGTAGAGAACAACAACACATGTGATATTCACATTTAAATAAATAAAAAAAAATACCCAGTGTTTTTTTTAGAGTTGAAAGAATTTTGATTTTTAATATTGCAGCCAGTGTTGACTCCATTTTATTAGAAGTCTCTGTGTGGTAGACCAACTCAAAGTAACACATAGCTATGAAGTGGGGGGGAAAAAAAAAGAAAGCATGGTTTTGGAAATTGAAACAAAAAATGAAAATATCAAAAGGTTTATTTTTTTTTATTAATGCAACTAAATATATTTATCAAAGCTAATTGCATTTAGAATTTAAAAAGTTCACAAACTGTTTCCTTTCTGCTGTGTTGGGTGAGTATAAATGCAACTCTTTTTTGGTGGTTTCAGTGTTTTGCTAAAGGACTTTAGTGAACAAACAGCATAATGGAAACCAGGCAACACACCAAACAGATCAGGAATGAAGTTTTTGAGAATTTGTCTAAAACTTGGTTAACTTGTATTGCAACATTCAAAACTTTAAACATATTACATTGCACTGTTCAGTTCATCAGCTGAAAACAGAAAGTGTTGGACACATCTGCAAAGCCATAACAGAGTTGCCTTACTATGCAGACAGCTGTGGCAAAGAAGGCTTTCATTTAGAAAGCAGCCAAAAGCAACATGGTAACTCTGATTACGTGGCTAAACCGGTTACATCCACAAATCTGGTGAGACGACTATTAGCAGTGGACTCCATAATCTGGTCTTTATGAGAGGGGAGAAGAAGAATGGTACTGCCTAAGGAAAGCTGTAATAAGTATAATTAGATTTTTTTTTTCACAGACCAAATGAGAAATAAAACCAACAAATGGAGGAAGGTAAACTGCTGAAATAGGAAAAACGATACACGTTTTCAGTTCAGGCATAATGCTCACTGTAAAAAACAGCTAATACTGCATTTCACTTTGAATAATCAAATGCCTGGTGGTGGCAGCATCATGTTTTAGTTATACCTTCTTTTTGGAGGTACAGTAAAATCTGATCTGGCATAATGCAGATTGGTACATGTAGACCGTATCAATCTGGAAAGCCTCATGTAGAACCTGCTCCTAAAATAGAGAGACATTCAATACAATTCTTCGACCTGAGTGGATATCTGCCTCCCTTGTCGAGCTTTTAACCAATCACAGCTGACGTATTACATTCTTGACTTGCTTAACAACTAGTAGAGTTAATGATAAATCAAAATCTTACAGAACCAAATCCCTGTTCTGCCTTTGGACCTCTGAGCCTGCCTGTCCCCGTTCTGATCTGTTTTCTTGACCTGTCTTCGGACTCCTCCTGGATCTCTGCCTGTCTTTGTTCTGAACGTGGAACTATTTTCCAACTCCATCTGGATTTCCCCTCCGCACCTTTTTTGATCTCTGATTTCTTGGCTCTCACTACTGAGCACGTCACTGACACCGGCTTTGGCTTTACACCCTGGATCGTCTGCTCGGTTCTGATCTCCTGCGGGTTCTCCGACCTCTGATGCATCAGCGTCTGGAACACTCTGGGCAGCGCCCACTGCATCGTGTTTGTAGCCGAAAGGCTGGAACCAACCTCACCCTCTGGGCTCGAAATGAACTATAAGACCAGAAGGCTAGGCTTACAAGTTCCTAATCCGCTTCTAGAGAGAAGCGGTCATTGACCTGTTGTCTCCCACAGTTTCCTGCAGTAGATGCCGATGATGTTCACTGCAGTTCTATTTCAAATAAACATTTTCAGAAATCTGTTTGTCAGCCTCAGATACTGGATGCTATCGTTCTGAGCCTGACAGAATGTGTACTGGAGCCTCTCACAAAATACAAAATTACCTAATTTATGCTATTACTGAAATTATGGGAGAATAGATAGAAACGGAGATAAAAAAAAAAAATGCACAATTTGTTACTGTAATGATGGATGAAACAACAGACGTTGGTAATGCTGCATAGCTCGCACTACATAACATAATTTGTCAAGGTGCGTTTTATCAAATACAGTATTAGAATGAAACTGGTGGCAAGCAAGCCTATTACATTACTGCTCTTATTTCATGTTTACTTTAGGAATATGGATGTTTGGATAAAGTTTTAGTGCAGTGTTATGATAGTGCTGCTGTAAAGGCATCTGGACTAAATGGAGTGCAAGTGAAAGTTAAGGACAGGGCACCTATGACCTTATTCATTCACTGCAATGCACATCATCTTAATACTGGTCAAAGAAGCCTCAAAGCTTAAAGAATGCAAATTATTTTTAATTTGTTTGACAACCTGAATGGCCTTGCTGCATTCTGAAGATCTCCAAACCGCATTCAGCTACTGGATGATATCAGCAAGTGGCGTCTTCCACATGTTGCACCAACAGTAGGGTGGCAATAGACATAGAGATTAGTGAATGCAGTCCATAAGAAGAATATTGTGCTAAAGGAGTTGTTTGATCACTTACTGGAACATCATGATGAGTATGATAAGGAAATTGTGCTTTGTACAGATTAATTTGATAAGTGCCTGGATGATTTTGAGTTTTGTTTTTTGCTGATGGGCTTTTTGAGCATGTTGATGTGCTCTTTGGAAAGCTTCAAACCAAAACACTAGATATACAATTCTGCATAGCAATTCAAGTTTTCATCCTAAAGAGGAAAACTAATACTATATCTAAGATGGCTAAAACAACACTGCCCAGCAGGGACAGAGTGAGGAGATCAGAAGAGCTAACAAGAGTCTGGCTACTAAGAGTCTAAGAAGATACAGAAAATGTTCGCCCTGGAAGATTTAAAAGAAGAAGAAATATTGGAATATTTATTTACCTTACAAAGAGAAATTTCCCTGACATAAACATGTGGAGAAGATTGTTGGGGCCCCTTTTTCGATGAAAGAGAAATCCACAATGGTTAAAGAAATAACTTGAATCGGACACAAGTAATAATTTCAGCTATTTGGTACGGGTCATTATCCTGTTGAAAGAACCATGACTTGCGACTAAGACCAGATTTCTGACACTGGGCACCACATTTCTTTCTATAATCCTTTGATCATGTTGAGATTTCATTGTACCTTGCAGAGAGATTCGAGACACCCTGTGCCGGGCAAACCAAAGCAACCCTAGAATATAATAGTTTCCTTTATGTTATTCATTAAAGACAGTGTTCTTTTCTTGATGTGCTTTATTTTTTGGTCAGTGAACATCTATTGTGCTTGGCAAGAAGTGCCATTTTTGTCTCATCTGTCCATAGGATATTATCCCAGAAGTCTGGCAAAATCCAATCTGTTTTTTTTAGGTAATATGCTTTTAACAATGATTTCTTCTTAGCTCTTTTCCTATTAAGTTGACTTTAGCTCAAACTTTGATGGATGGTGCAATCTGACACTGATTTATCTTGAGTTTGGAACTCCCCTTTAATCAATGAAACAAGATTTTTATAACATACATCTACTTGGCAATATCTAATTTCAACATACAAAATCAAATTGTTATGCCGGGGACATTGCTAATGCTGTGTTTGTTGCACATTTTGATTCCTTGTTGACAGAGTAAGGGGACTAAAAATATATAATCTGATATAAAAAAACAAACAGATATTGAGTTGTGAAAATTAATATTTCACTGTGGAAAAAGTAAAATACACCAGCTCAGGTATTGTTGCATTTTAAGAAAAATCAATGCTTTTGAGAATTTCTATTTGAAAATATTTTGAAAACCTAGATTTATTTTCATTCTACCATTCACAATGATATGCTGTGTGTGAGTCTGTTTCTTGAAAGTTAGTAGTACAGTGAACAGTGTTGTTAAAATATGTTAGTGCAATGCATAGTTTTGCTGTACTTTGCCTTTAAGCACTTTTTGCCTATTTTTACAGTTTATATAGTAATATTCTTTTGTACTGTTTTGAGTGGCTTTATGCTAGTTCTAAGTAGACTAACAAGGGTGGGAAACAAATTGAACAAATTATTCAATTGTATATTGGTAGGTAAATAACTATAGTTAATTTTGCTTTTACGTAAATTTCTATAAAACTGTGCTATTTTACAGTTGGATCAACTAAATCAAGAGTCTCTGGTTTATTTACAGAAACATGTCCTTGTATATGTTTTGGCTTTGTTTGAAATGAATAGAAGATGCAACACAAATCTGTTTTCATATGGATTTTTCTCTCTGCTAACCTTTGTTTGTGTTGCCGATGGACTTTGAAATGAACAGCATAATGGTGCAATAAACTGTAAACCCCTTTTCTGCGTCAGCCACTCTCCTTACCCAAAAACCACTTCAGATGCAGCCTACATATAATTCAACTGTGACGAGAAGAACATGGGCAAGTTTTTCAGAGTTTGAGGTCAGCACAGGGTGTGTGTAATGTGTTTACAAGGGCAAGTGTGTGTGTTGCTAATCACAAACTCGGTCACAAACCTGCTCCTGGAGCCAGTTGCTGGCCACAGCACTGTGGTTCTAATTAACAGGCTGGGGCATTGTGTTTACAGCTAGCCCTACGTGTTAGTGGATGTGTGTTTTGTGTTGACTTTTCTCAGATGTAATGTTTTTGATTTATTTTGTTTGCAGGATCCAAATAAGACAGCTCACTGAGACATACTTTATTAACACACACTGGTCTTTTTCTCTAACCCCTTAAATAGAGATATTTACAGCAATAATGTGAGTGAAACACCCAGGATTTCAAAAACAGTGGTCTCCATCACATCCAGTCTACACTGCTGTACCATGACTTATTCATTTATATATATTAGACTTAGACAGATTAAAGTCTAAGTCATATATACACACTATACATATATATATATATATATATATATATATATATATATATATATATAGTTATGTGTATGATCACTGAAAACATGAATACTCTCCCTACTCTCCCATTTTTGACATGCTCCAGCAAAGCAAATCCATCCATTGGGCACCATTATGCTATGTTGATTTACAGAGGACATGACCTGCAATTTGACATACTTGCAAAATTAACAATGAAGACGAGCAAACAGAAGAAATAGTCTTGTAAACACAAAAATTAAACTAGCAAACACTAAAATGAGGCTAATTCACACGCAGACAAAATGCAAGCAATGCTGCATTAGAGAAATGCTGCAATCACAGTAAATGCATAACAGCAATGTTAAAATGACCTACAAATACAAAATCCACTGCGTAGACTGCTAAAAAAAATTCAAGTAAAAACATAAAAAACACACTGATAATAAATTTCTAATGCTTTTGTGAAAAAGGAATAAGACGACAGGGGGAAATTATTGGCAGTAAACTAGACAATAAATGATTGGTTCTGAAGGAGGGACCACGGACCAGTTCTCTGCACTTATGATATCTGGCTGAGTTTTTTGGTGACTTTGGATGTTGGTGGTGCTCTCTCACTCATGGTAGCATGAGACTGACTCTAAAATCCATACAAGTGGCTCAGGTATCAATATACCAGCTTATCCAGGATGGCACATCAATGGGAGCTGTGGCAAGAGGTTTTGCTGAATCAGATTGAGGACATCTGGCACATCTTGTCTACAACATAAGGAGAATGCTCTGGCATTGTAGAAACGTCATACAGGCACATGGAGCCAATGCACAATACAGAGCCTCAGGACTGAAGCTGAAGGATTTTAGCCTGTTTTCTTGTCCGGTATTATTTGTGATTATGATCGCCTCCCCCTAGTAGTATGGGGCACTTCTGATATGTGAAGCTAGTTTGCAACCTTTCTAAACTTAACTTTAAAAAAATATATATATATTTTTTTGTGGCTCATTTCTTTTGCATGTGTAATCTGTGTTTGTGTGTCAGCATCACTTCTACATTTGCAGCAGGTTTAATGTTTGGAACATTTTTGCAATAACTTTGCACCTTGTTGCTCTTTATGTTCTGTAATTGCAACAGTCATTTACTGCAGCACGTTTCCTTGGCATCTGTTTTTTTTTGTTGTTGTTGTTGTTGGTTAGTCCATTGTTTTGTTTGTGTCTAATTTTTTTGTGCCGCTGATTGTCCGCGGAGCGTTAGCATTACAAAATCTACCAAGCACCCTATTCCGCAAGTGTTTCAGAGAGTATCATCTCGGAGCGGATGGACTCAGATCATAGGGGGAGTTTATTACACACAAGCAGTATATATATATGTAGGCTTTATATATATATATATATATATATATATATATATATATATATATATATATATATATATATATATATATATATATAGATAGTTGTAAATTTGATACAACTGGTATCTGGCATGCCTGCTCTTTATCCGTTCAACTTACCTCTCAGCCCATGCCTTTTTCCTTTTTGGTGTAATCTTTATAAAACAGGGGAGTGTTTTTTTTTTTTCCTTGAAAAATATACATTTCACAGTCCAGATGTATTTGCTTGGCAATTATGTATTTGCATCATGTTTGCACCCATTGACCAACTTATTGTACACTCCATTTATTAAGTCATCAGTGAGATGCTTTCCCACATTTATTTGTTGGTTTTTGGTATGTCTCTCAATATTGATCATCTGGGACAGGAATGTGATTTTAGAAAACATTGCACACATTTTTATGTAGAAATTAAATTGGCTTATGAACTTTTTTTTATGTCCTCATCTGTCATTACAATGACCAGTACAGTTTCACACTTAGAGAAATTGAATGTTTAAGAGAAATTCTGATGCAATTTGTCTATAAATCCCAGCCTCACCATCTGCATTAACACTTCCTCTGCATCCCAAATGTGCATACTCTTTACCATTTGCCAAAATAGGCATAAGGGATCACTTAATTTAATGCCAGGTCTATTGTTTATAGATCAGAACCCTTGCGTGGAATGTGGCATATGCAAATTTCAGGCCTAGTTTTGTGCATGCGCAGCCTTAATGAATGACACCCCAAATATTTTTTCAATAAATATTTATTTCTCTGAAATCTTTAACCTGTTTTCCTTTGTTCTACTTGGCTCTGTTCTCATGACTGTTACTTTTTATTGCTGTATTATTTATAAAAGGAAATGTGAGATTCTTTTTGGCACTACTACCTAGAGTTTAGTAGTGTTCTGGTTTAGTAAGACATTCATACTTTTCTGGAAGCAAAATAGCATCTTTGTTCCCACCTTACATTGATGATTTGTTTTGTAAGTTTTTTACAACATTTTCTTTGAATTTTAGGAGCGGGTGATTGAGAACCTCCGGGACCAAAAGGAACGAGAAGACAGGGTGAGGCTTGAAGAGATGGAGCAGATGAGGAAGGAGAACCAGGAATTGAAAGAAAAACTTGCAGCCCTGCAACCCCCAAAACTGTCACAGAGCCAAGTCACTAACTCCAGCTTAATCCAGAATCAGAAGCCTGATGCAGAGGTTAGTGCAGAGTGAATGTAATAATCTCTTTTCTAACTATGTTGTTGTAGATTGTAAAAACTATACATGCATCTAAAAGAAATTAAATATATATTGTAAGACTGCTGATTTAACTCTTTAAAAAAACAAACAAAAAAAAAAAACCCTTTTTAACCCATTTTGCAGCCCTGGGCATCCTTCACAAGTGGATTACAGTAAAAGGTGTTACCCTGTTTGTGGTCCAAAGAAATTTATCAAAGAAGCTTGCCGTTTTCAGAGAGATGGGTTCAGTCTTAAAAAGTTAAGCAGAAGAAGTTGCTCAGAACAAATAACAGGCCTAAGATGATAGCAAAGTAAATCCCATTCAGTTATTATCAGGAGACATTTGCTGTGCAGTTGTATTACCCCTACCAAATCACATCCACCTTTTAGCCCATATCTGGGATAAAAATAAAAAGGAACTGAATTAAAGGTTAGTACTTCTCAAATAAAGGTTCCTTTTGCAGTAAGGCTACTAGTCAGTAGCAAGACTGGCATAGAACATAGAGAATGTTCCATAGTTAGTCATTACTGGCAGGCTCATGATTTCTGCTCGTGTTATCGTATGTTTCCTACTATGTTTCCAAACTAGATGCAGCTGCAAACAGACTAAGTGGAAGTGACGATCTATGCACAACTTTCAGCATGACAAGGCTTCTTCCAACACTTCCAGACTTATACCTGTTTTGATATGTGGGTTAACCCACAGATAATCTATAGGTTATTGGCATGTGGAAGATGAGAAGGACTGAACTGACAGCATCCATGCCATTGCTGTTGCTTGATTTATAAAAAAGAAAACCAAGCAATGTATTTACTGTTGTACTGTATATATACAGTGCAACACATAAACTTACTTTGCAGTAGGCGAAAACTTGGATAGATACCCTAATGTAATGATACTTCAGGTGATTAGAGCTTGTTTATGTACTCTACTTTATTATTTATTCTGTGTGGTCTACAAACAAACAACCATGCACCTCGTATTAACACTCTTCATTCACACATCATTGGTAGTTCTTTTAAAGAGAAGCATACAAGTGTAATGTTCTCTTAAGTATGAGGATAAGAACATGCAGCTGACTTATACAGATAACAATCCCTATTTCCTTGTTTTAAAGCTTTTAAAGCTTTATTTTGAAAGCATTGCTACTTTTTTTTATCTGGTCTTTCATTCCTTTTCCTAAGCTTACAAGCCTGGACAGAGTCTAGTCCTTGCAGAATTTACGAGATGTTTTTTTCCTCTTTTTTTTAATACCCATTAAAACAGTACACACATCTCATTCCTGCGAAATGATACCTTGCTTTATGTTGATTAGGCACCACATAAAAGTGACAGCCGCTCGGCAACTCTGTTGCAAATCGATTTACACTTTGACAGAAGTTTTGCCATAATCAGACTATTATGTATGCTTTGCAGCAATCAGACTTTTTATGTAAACTTGCAGAGATTTATAAAGGCAGATGGTGCCTGTGTATTTTTTTATGTTTTTGTGTGCAAGGGTTTTTTTCTTCTCTGCTTGTGCCTGCATGTCTGCACAAAACAGCTGTTTATGTGTGCCTGTGAAGGTATTTGTGTTGATCTATTGATGTTTGTTGATCTTGCTGGTTTGCAGTGGCCTAGGAGAGGCTCTGTTGCCTACCGATCAGTTGAGGTTGACAGACTGGCCTTTACCTCAGGATAAATGTTGGCCTTCATTTCCATAGTGATAGGCAATATACAGTCACTGCTAAATAGTTTATTCATAGCCATAATAAATACCACACATTGGGAATCTCCATGTAGCTGTGAACATTGGACACTAAATTCCACTTAAACAGGATGTTTAGAAATAGATTAAATACAGGGGAGAAAATTCCACTTCCTGTTTGACATCTGGTACATGGAATTGCCCCTTATCGAAAGATAAGAGATGAAACAACATTAGAAATCTGTGTTAATGTGACCCATTTACATCATTAAAACTTTTATAACCCAACTGTGTAGTTTTTATTGAAGAACAGAGTAGAATAAAATGATCTTTGTTAAAAGCATAAGCACTACCTCCTCACGTTTGTGCTGTTTTTTTTGTTTTTTTTTTGACATATTATATATTCCAAAGTTTTATTTCAGAGGACTGATAGGCTTAAGTAACATTTTTATTATTATTAATCCTTTAGTTAGTCAGGAAAGTAACCAGTGAGATTAACAATCTGCCTTTATGATAGACCTTGCAAAAAAATAATGTGTAAAAACAGGTACAAGACATTATGTATAAATGGCATCCACAAATACTATTTACAAAATGAAAGCTGTTTGTAAAATGTTATATATGACAGAACTAAAACACTAATAGTTTAAAGAAGTTATCTCTAAAGGGCTGGTTATACTCCTGCAGCAGTGTGTTGTAGTGAGCTTGTCGCAGGTATGACGCAGATATTTTTGATTTATGCTCAATTTTGAAGCATGTTCTGCGCTATGTTATTCCACGCTACAATGCAAGAGGGTATATGACGAACTAACTGTGGGTCTAGATACGGCCAAGGCGGTGAGGAAGTAGAAAAAAAGTATGGGGCAAGTTTGTGCGACTACGGATAGACATGAGGGCGAAGAGCAGGGATCAGGTGGAAAAAGGGTCCCAGCGTTCTCGCGCACCCCGTACCAAACAGGAAATACGCATAGTGTAGAGCGGATTTAGAGTTGATCAATCAGAGGCCTCCCGTCTGCGGTACTGTCTGCAGTCACCTACAATTTTGGAGAGGTGCACCAGAGTGTCTGCGGAAAGGATGGGGGCATATCTGCGTTCACTGCGACATATGCATACAACCTGGTTTCTGAGCATAAACCAGCCTTTTTTGATGTTGCATTATTTTTTAGGTGTGTTGCTGTGGATGAGTTAGTTAACATGGTCTGTGTATTTAATAAAATCAGACACCACACTAAGAGACAGCCAATTTTTTTCACAGAGGAACTGTGCCAAAACCTGAAACTTTGCCTGCAGTCAACTGACCTCAGATATGGGGAGCTGTATAAAAGGCAGAAAGAGGGATGTACTATGAGAATTCCCAGTTTCTTTTATCATTGCAAACCTATTCATGGAGGAGGAAGAAAAAAACGTTTTAGCATTGTTTCCATAGAGACAACTGTTAGGATAATTATCAATGACGGGGCACAAACAGAGTAATATTATTGATGCTGTTAAGTTCCAGGAGGTCTTTGACCAGTTATACACCAGGGGGAAAAAGAGAAGCCAATGGTCAAAAGAATGGCCCAGTACAGAAGAGCGACATCATTAGACCAAGATTCTGTGGTTTACACTAATCTGCAGGCCAGCAGTCATTCTTTCATTGATGAAGATGTTTTCATTCTGGATAGGGTGGAACGCTGGTTTGAGAGCAAATCAAAGTCCAATTCTCCCCTCTAACAACACTGTTATTGCAAGCATGACTCAACCATCTGGGAACAATAGGTGGTCAACAATGATTGGTTTTAACTCCTCTTTTGAAGATGGACAGCTATTTTCATATGCCCTTTTTGAACTTTTTTATCCACTTTGTGTTGAGATTCCCCACTATAATGACCTAGTCAGTACACAAACCATATCAGAAAGGAAGTCTATCTAAATTGAAGCCCCTAAGGGAACAATAAAAAATAATAATTTTTTAGGCTATCAAATTAAGATGGTTCAAACTATGGGTTGATTGATGAACTTAAGTATTTGAATAACTCATTAAATCAGACTTAAAAGCTTGTTGCTAAAGAAAGGGGGATTAATCTATGTGCCATGCATGATGCATACATGGACAAGTTGGTGAGTGATGGATAGATCGTTTTAGTTTCATTGATAAATAGATTGAGGGATAACCTGGAATTTTTTTTAACTAACAGCTGACATTTATGACAAATTGTTTATCTTGATAACAAACAGAAACTAAACATTGTTAACAAGTTAGTTTATAAAGTCATTGTAGGTGGCAGAAACATGTTTTAGTATGGAACCTTTTTGTAGAAGAGTGGCGTTTAAGTGGCTTTTTTGTGCTACAGTAAGGGTTTATGCTGCACTCTCTTATTATTAAATCTGAAAGCTAGATGTTTTACTAGATATGTTTGAGTATTTATGTCTCAGTTAAATAAGAAATACCAGATTACTGATGTTTCTTTCTTCTCCAAAGCTGTCAGTTTAATTTGCATGGAAAAAACCCAATATCTCTCCCATTAGAATAGTTGTCTAAATTAATAGATTTTAGGTAGTGTAGGATGTTCTCAAACATCTCATCCAAGTATATCCAAATAAACAAGAAAAAAATCCTTAAATGTTCCACTGCAAAGTCCAGAAAGTTGGTTTTATATTTGAACAATAGCTACTAATCCTGTTAACAGAAAATAAAATGAATACATTTCTTAATTCTTTCCTGAATTATGTTGTAGCATTACAAGAATGACTTATACAAGGACTTTTTTTTACCTTTGTTTATATTTGACTTATTATAGAGAAAACCAACTTGCTATATAAACACTCTGTAGAGAATTAATTTGTTTTGTTTGGTTACGTCTATTTAAATTCCTTATCAAATCTCTTCAAAAAGTTGGATAATAACTATTTAAGGCTAATGTAAAAATAATAACACTAACAATGAATATACCAGTCATAAGGGCAACAAATATGCAGAAGATTTATTTTTCAACATGTTTTTCAGGGCTAGTTGAGGAAATGTTTTCAATATAATGTCCTCTGAAGTTAGTGAAATGTGACTGTGTATACAAGTGTTTGTGCACATTAACTTGATTTTGTTTAAATTAGTGGCCTCTGCTGTCTCAACAAGTTAAAATATCTTCACAAACACAGTTGACAAGGAACGGTAGAGTCTTCGGGGAAAAGGAACAAGATGAGAGGAGAGTAATTTTAGGTTAGAAAGTACCTCTGGGATATTTTTCTCAGAGAAGAATCGATTTAGTGTGGTTGAGAAAAAAGGAGGTACCCAGACCAAAAAAATCAATAACACTATGATGTGCAGTGCTCTCATAAAATCACAGTCAAAACATTATAGGGAGTCAGTAATTTTGGAATGTTAATAACTAAACTCGCAGCTCTAGATGAAAAATTGCCCTGAGGATGCAAAGGATTGAAGTAAACCTTGTGAAAGAAGACACTGGTGGGGGTGTGTGTGGGTGTGTGTGGGTGTGTGCGTATTGGGGTGTGGTGGTGGTCACAATAGGTTCTGGTGCATTTTATTGAAGCAAAAAAAAATGAAACAAAAAATAAAATAAAATATGAAATAATAACAACACATAAAATATTAAAGGATAATAAAGGCTTGCTGGTTCTCATAAAACTATTTTTGTATTTATTTTTAATATAATTTTTTCTGTTGTCTTTAGGTCCAACCCAAAGTGGATGGGCTGCCACCAATGTGCCCTAAGGTATGTATTTCATTGTTTTTTATTTTGGTACTATTGACTATGTTGGTTTACCTATATCAGGGCAATCCAAACTGTTCAAACTAGTGTTGCGCCGATGCCATTTTTTGGCCCCGATACCGATATCCGATACCTGGCTGTGCAGTATCGGCCGATACCGATACCATAATAATGTAAAATAATTGCCATCATGGCTTTATCAAGCTGCTGCCTACCTTTGTGAAGCAGTAAAAAATCTAATACAAAGTGAATCCAGTAGAACTTTTTATTAAAAAGTTCTACTGGATTCTAACTTTTTATTAAAAGGTTCTACTGGATAATAAAAATAAAAAGTTTTTATTGCCTACTAGCAGTGGGTGACAATAGCTGAATAAACTTATGGCTCTCAAAATGGTATCGGTGCCCTATTTGTTGATACTCACCGATACCGATACCACCATTTTAGGGCAGTATCGGGGCCCCGTCCGATACTGGTATCGGTATCGGTGCAACACTAGTTCAAACCCATATTGGACCAAAGAAACACAAAAATCAACTCTGTCTGGAGTCACAAAAATGTAAAAGTCATATAAGCCTTTTATGGCAACATGGGCTCTAAGTCTATTAGCCCACTATAAAAAAGGACTACAGTACCTAGGCTTAAATATATAATAAGCATTCATAATTAAATGTTTATCCTGAGCAAATGTCACAACATGTGACTACCCTGCTGTACGATATTTGGTGCTTTAAGTTTAAATCCCATTGCAATAGTAATGTATTAGGTTTTATTGCATTGATGAAATTATAGAAACACGATAAAGAAATCAGATTTTTGGTGTTATTTTTATTTCGAGGATTTGGGGGGAAAAATGGATGAACATTCACATACCTGCATAAGAGCGCTACTTGTTTGAACTGTGAATGGTTTTCTATTCTTGCAACAAAACTGGTAGCAGTAGTAGAGTTAGGAGATGTAATCCATTTCTTAAATCTATCTTTGCACTCCTGTAATCTCTCCAGAAGTACTGCAATCCCTTTTCTTCTCTCACTCCCAACTTGGTGTTCGGCTGCATATTTAGGATGTCTTCCCTGGAAATGCCGTTCAAAATTACTCTTTTTATTATTTGACAACTTCTCATCACAAAGTAAACATGCAGGCAATTGTTCCACATTGGTAATGAAAGGAAATTATTTGCAAATTCTTCTTTGAATCTTCTGTTCTTGCTATATTCCTTTTTTTTCCCCTTTGGGATCCATGACCTTGGACACACCCGCCAATTTGTTTACAACAGCCACCTGCCTGACACCGCACTGCTCTGAAAAGTGTGTTTCAGAATATGACGAAAATCTTTGTTAACAAAAATGTTAAAATATATGGTATAAATGAATTTTTTTCTACAAGTTTTTATAGCATTGGGAACACAATGAAGTTTTGATTGACCTGCACGCTATATTAAAAACAAACTAAACAAAACAAAACATAAAAATCTTTTCCCATTTTCATACATTTTTTAAAAATCCACTCTGGAGCCATTGGTTGCCGACCCCTGACCGATATGCACTTGCATTTCACATGCATTTTAACCATGTCATCCTATATCATTTGAAATTAGAACACTTTGTACAAGATTTTTTAACAGGTAGAATTATTCTCAAAATTAGTCTATAAGTGTATCATCCTGGAACTTTTTTACAGGATTATACATATATTCTGGCTAACTGAAGGAGAATACTAATGGACTAAATGAAAGGGAAGGTACATTTAGTCAAATGACAGTTTTCATCAAAGTTTATCTCCTCGTAAGGTATGGCAAAAGTATTTAAACTCTGAAAGTTTTTTACATTTAGATATAGATTTACAGATACAGTCCCTCTCTCTGCAATTGGAGCTTTTATAGGAAGGCCTTTGAGGCTTTATAGACAACATTAGTGAACAAAAACCACCATGCAGATCAGGGAATACAACAGAAAGGTCAGGGGTGTTTAACTTAAAGCATGGTCGAGTTGCATAACCAATATCTTGATCTTATGTCTCACAGAGGACTCCTGTAAACTAGAGGTAACCAGAGTAGTAAACGCAAACATCCAAGAGGCTTATGGGGACTCTAGAGAAGCTGTAGAGAAATACAGGCCTGGGTGATTAATCTGTGGACCCTTCACCCTAAAACTGAAATCTTAAATTCAGACCTTTGAGGAATATTCGTAGAAGAAACATATTATTGAAATAAAAGCTGTTAATCCTATATGGTTGACAACAAGCTATCCAAAGGGTTTTCTCAATACAAAGCTAGTGAGAAAGAAGGTCCAGCTTTAGTTATCATTTTTTTAAATCATTTTTGAAGTTTCCATGTCCTTGATGGCTGAAGATTTTTGAATCTTTGACAGTTTTTTTCTGATGAAACACTTTGTGCTTCTTACTGAAATTGCAAAAGCATTTAGTGGTACAGAGTATTGAGTCAAGAGGTTGAATATAAATGCATGCCGCTCATTTTAATTAAAAAAGACAATTTAGTTTTTTCTTTCCATTTCTTAATCATGGGCCACTTTGTATTGATATGTCACTTAAACAAACACACATTTCCTAATATGAATGCAAAGAGATTTTACAGTTGTATTACGTATATTGTGGGAATACTTTTGTTAGGTGCTACGTTAGGTGTTTGATTTTCTGTTAAAAACGCTTGTGTCAAATACATTCTCTTTTAATTGTCCTGTTCTCGTCAATGTATACAGAAATATAAAAAGACATGTACTGCCTAGAACAGTATTTTAAGCTTAATACTACTTGTTTAGTTAAATTCGTTTGACAAAATTTCTCTGTCTTTTTACGTGTTCACAACAATTACACAACACCTACATAAAAAAGAACCAAAATCCAGAGGAAACTGTCAGAATCTGTCCAGACATCGCAGATCGTCTGAGACTTCTCGAGCAGGAAGTGGCCCGCTACAGAGAAGAGTCTGGGAACTCCCAGGCTGAGGTGGAGAGGCTAAAGGGAGCACTAAAGGAAGCTGAAGTGGACAAATCTTTCAAGGAGAAGAAAATTACTGATCTTGAGAGGTGAGGTTCAAAAAGTCAGTGACTTTCCTGACTACCCCAGTGCATGTACCATTTGGGTGTCTTCAAAGAGATGTCCTCTTCTTGCTGACCGGATCTTATAAGATCTCAAATCATTACAAAGTGCTTTATTTATATAAGACTTAACCATCAGATATAAACTGTTCAGGTTGTATATTCTTTCCACTTGAAACCACTTCCACCAACTCATCTTTCTTCCCTTACGTAATTCTTGTCTCTGAATACATACTTTGACCTGGTTTTTTATCAGATTAATGATTAGATTTTTCTTATCTTATTGCTTGTTTCCGTAATACATCTGCAGACCTGGGTAAGTAGATACTCAATGTGTCTGTTAAACACATTTTCATACACTGCATGTTCATGTGTGCTCTTGGGCTCCTGCCATTCCTATTTATTTTATTAATTAAAGGAGCAATAAGCAAAGATTAACTTCTTTAGATTGAAAGAACAAAAAATATTGATCTGAAAAGCCAGATGTATATTTTTTAGATGGAATACGGTATAAAGTCAAACACCACCTTTTTGTGTTGTTCTCTAGTCTCATGTTTGTAAGCTGGGCCAGCTGGGCATGCATGCAAGTCTATGTGAGTAGTTGCCACTCCTGGTTAGCTCCTCCATGCCCAGAGACAGCAGCGCAGTGGCATAATGACTGAGAGCAAATCCAGTAGATCAAAAAATTTACCCAAAGACGATCAATGGCCAAAATAAAATTTTGTTGCTAACAGTATTATATAGTTATGAGATTCTAATTTCTTCACTAGACATGTCCCTCCAAAAGGCGATGCTGTTTTGCTGATATTAACCTTGCATAACGACGGTTGGGGGTGCATTTGGAGCTGAAGTGGAGATAGAAAAAATTGTCACTTGTCACACATCTTGTTTTGGTCTACAGTCAGTGCTCAACATCCCCACCTGGTGATACAATTTCACTTATTGCTCCTTTAAGTACGTAGGTTAGTTGGGCCTCATTTCAGGGACATTAGTGGCACTGTTAGAATCTTTATGTTTTAGGGTTTTACTCTACATTGTGTTGACTTTTGCAAAGATTCTTCACATTTTACTGCTATCTCATGGCTTCTCATATGTGTATTTTTCCCATAATCATATAACATTTGTTTGTTTTTACACCAGTATCAGTGAATTTAAAAGATAAAGAGTTCTGCTTCTGGCTTTGCATTGCTGTTTGTTCACTGTGTGTATTTGTTTCTAGGTGTGTGTGTGTGTGTTTGGGTTTTTTTGAGTTTACCACGCGGCAGACCGCCAGCGGCATGCCAGTGGGAGGTGGTGTGTCTAACCCAGACACTGGCTGTTTATACTGCTCTGTTTATTACTGGCAGAGTGCTACTCAATTATCATTTGATTTATGGATTGGCATGGAGTGTATATGTACCTGAATAAGTAGTTATTTATTGTGCGTGCACTTTGTGCACACTTTTAATTCAACTGTGTCTACATGGAAGTTACTTAAAAAGTCTTAGAAAAATCTTTATACCTTTTGAACCATATTATAGAAAAATGTAATTGATCCACCAGATTTTGAGTAATACACTAACAAAATGTGATGCAAAACAGTGAGACAGAAAATGCATTGTTTAAAGTTTTTATTTACAAACACAACTGGGAAAATTGTGACATGCAGTTTTATTCGGTCCCCCTGATTCACTATTTTTTAGTTCCAACTTTCATTGTAAAAACAATTGAAAGATTTGTGACTTTGGTGTATGGCTTTGTAGGTTTTAATGGACAACCTTTTACCTAGCTTTAGTTTCAGGACAGTTGTGACGCATACAGATTGGATGCAGAGAATCCATAAACATTTTTTTTTTCTTTTTCAAACATTAAATAATTAAGTTTGGACATTTAATAATCCATTCAAACACATGTATAGTATTTTATTTATATAATTTCATTGTAAGCCAAGCAGCAGATTTAATGTCCAGCTGCGACATTTAACCTACTGCCTGACATTAAATGTCAGTATAGACTGCACATCCTGGATCCACCACGGTTTTCTTCCTCATTTATTATCCATTCTGCACACTTTCTGCTTTGGAATAGTGTTTGAAGGTATGCGGATCAAATATTATAAGAATACAGTAGCTTCTGCACAGCCACTGCATGGATCCTCTGCTGTGTTTCCATGTTTGTGCATTCATTATGCCTCTTGAACGGTTGCATGCAGCTGTTGTGAGCTATCCAGCAGTCCTTGAGATAGTTTGAAGGGTTTCCTTTTCCACTCAGCTCATCTATCTTTTCAGGGGTGCTGTCTCATTAGTGTCAGCTAGGCTCTCCTATCAGCTCAACCCTTCCCCTCTGCTCTACACACACAGATCAAAGGTCAGAGGCAATCCAACCACAGGTTATCAAAGAAGGATCCTTATAATCATACACTGCAGCTGCACACCTAAAATAAAATATGTTTCCAAAGTAACAATAACAGACACTAGTTCTTTTGGCTGCAGTACGACTTTTTCCATTTTTGTTTAGATAAATACATTAAATATTTGCACGCGAGTAGCTGTGCACATGTGTTGTGTGACAGCATGGATGGAGTGTGTGTCTGTGCTGAATGGACATCAGTGTCAGAGCATATGATATGTAGTGAGTCTGAGCAAAGGATGAATGTGTTTTTAATCACATTGTTTCTGTTGGATCTACGTTGGCTGACCTATTAACGGTCATTAAATAGAGGGGAAGATAATAGATGAGACACATTATCATTCATTTTGAAACAAAGCAAAGAGAGGCATAACGAGCAGGTCATTGTAATAAATAAACTTTAGCAAGGCTATTGTACAGCTAAAGCTAATATATATGTGATTTAAAGGAGGGTACTTTCTCTCTCTCTCTCTCTCTCTCTCTCTCTCTCTATGTCTATCAATTTTGCAGCATGACATCTTAAAACGCCATGTTTTATTTTATTCATTTATGTTTAATCCCCCCCAAAAAATATATCTAAGGGAATATATATCACAATTTTAGATATTAAGCCATCTGCAATTTTGAATAATTTTCAATAAATAACAAAATGTAAAAAAGAAAAACAGTTCAGCTTCCTACACCTTTTAACTTCTCAGCAGTAAGGGCCCAATCCGAAACTGGCCCCTTAACACTCCTCCACACACTTACCCTCCCTTTGCATTTTCCTGTGGAGCCTCTGTCATGTTAAGGGCCGCCCCAAACCATGTAGGGGGTAGATCCGTTCAGCCCTTAAAAAGCAAGTCTGCATCAGTGCAGAGTATCTGGAATCTTGACAGCAAACAAAAGCTTCTTAATGGTTGAGGAAACACTTGTATTAAAATGTAATTTCTACTGGTTTATTGTACTTCGTCACAGTGACAAAAAAAATCACAAGTTAGGAGGCAGGAAAAAGAAGTCAAGGGAAGATTCTCTGAAATACTTTTATTAAGCTTTATAAATTTAGTTTCAAGAAAACAGCCCAGCAAGGCAACAGCCATGGACATTGGGTGGCTCTCTGTTGCCAAAGCAATGGCTGATTTCCTTTTCTGTTGGATACCTTTCTCATTTGTACTCTGGAGAAGGAGGATGCTGCCTCATTGACCGAAGATGCTTAAAGATTTGACTGACAGTGGGCAGTTTTCCCCATGAGACTCAAATGAGAGATGAAAAAGCAATGATTGTATATATATTTACTTATATATATATCTATAAATGTATATATAGACACTATGGCGTAGCGACACAACAATAGGCCCGTAAGCAACGTTACCTGGTAGGGCCCCATATAATGTGCAACACCCCATTCTTCTTTAATTTTTCTTTTCTGGAATGCGCTTAAATACCTCTTTTTGGTATCCATCGTTCCTAACACATTGTACGTAACGGTTATACTTTTAATCTACACTCTGGATTACCCATTTTATATTATATGAGTGTATTTTTTACCAACCGTCTAATGAACTGATACATAGTTATTAACATAGTAATTAAAAGTACCACTGTGTGCTTTGCTATTGGGGTCGTGTTTAAATGGCTCACCATTATGTTGAAATCTGGTCTGTGTTGGGGTATGAATAAGGTCAGGTCAACCTGTTTAATATCAGATGGGTTTAATACCACTTTTTTGCACCATTACATCTGCAAAGAGACGTCCTAATCCACAGTTGCGTAGGGGCTCCTACCAGGTGTCATTGATGGGGCCCCTAAGAGGTCGGGGGCCCCTTGGCAACTGCAGTCTCTGCTTACCGATAGTTACGCCATTGTATAGAAAAATATATATATATATATATATATATATTTATATATATACTCAACAAAAGTATAACCACAACACATTTGGCTTTGCTTACATTTTTTATTGTTCACTCAATGATCTAAAACCTTTACCGCATACACAATACACACCATTTCCCTCAAATGTTGCTCATAAACGAGTCTAAATCTGTAACAGTTTAATTAGGCTCTAATTTGTAGGTACCGATCTGTCATTAACATATTTTAATTTGACAAACCAGATCTTCTTAACTTTTCCTGTTTGGGGCCATTGCAATTGCGGGTCTTGATCCGAAGTGGAGCAAAAAATAGCTCGCTCCGTATTGGAATCTGGGGGTGAGACAATTTCTGACAGTTTATGCGGAAATTCTTTGATTATGTAAACCAATTGTCTCAGCAGCTGTCTGAGTGGCTCAGACAATCTTGGAGGTCAACATCATGGATGGTGGTCCTGGGCTGGTGTGGTTACAAGTGGCCTGTGGTCGTGAGGCTGGTTGGATGTACTGCCAAATTCCTTGAAACGCCTTTGGAGACGGGTTAGGGTAGAGAAATTAACATTCAGCACATGAGCAACAGCTCTTGTTCACATTCAGTGTGTCACCATACCAATTTTACACTCCCTCAAATCTTGCAACATCTGTGGTTTTGTGCTATGTGATAAAAATGCACCTTTCAGAGTGGTATTTTGGGAAATCTAAGGCACACCTGTGCACAAATCATGGTGTCTAATCAGCATCTTGATATGGCACAGGTGGGATGGATTATCTCAGCAAAGGAGAATTGCTGTCTATCACAGATTTATACTGGTTTGTGCAGCTGTGTCATACAAATAAATAATGAAAAGAATCATACATTGTGATTTCTGGATTTTTAAATATTTTTTTTAAATTATGTCTCTCACAGTTGACATGCACCTACGATGACAATTTCAGACTCCTGGATGATTTCTAAGTGGGAGAACTTGCAAAATAGCAGGGTGTTCAAATACTTATTTTCCTCACTGTATATGCACATATACTTATTTTTTTATGGGTGAATATTGAGGCTCAAGGTTTTCACCTAAAGCCATCATGGTTCTACACATATAAATAAAATAAATCCAACTATGTGTTGGTTGAGCTAAACTTTTTAAATAAATGAACTTTTACCTATCAGAGAAACTTACATAAAAGGCTATCTTGTATGATGCCGATTTAAAGAAAAGGAAGGTTGGCGTGTAGACGATGCTTGTGGAAATATTAGTTTGACTGTGCCAATAGTTAGACAGGGTATGGTCTGTATTTTGGGGGAAATTTCAGACGGTTTCACATGAGGAAGAAACAAGTAGTTGGTGGGTAACACATTCATACAAACAAGTATTTTCATGCGCACTAACAAACAAGTATAACTTTTGGCCTCTTTCCTGAGATTATAATCAAACACCAGGTGCAGTAATGCCTGACTGAATGCCAAAACACACACAAACAGTTTCAATTTCCATAATTTCTCTGAAACAACATTTGTAAACAATGTTTCTGTTGCAGGTGTTGGTGTAGAAAAAAAAAGCAATTTTGGGTTTATAATTTCCTTTTAGATTTCCTGTTTTACTGGAGAATTAAAACAAGTGGCACCTGCAACAAAGATGACTGCTGAATTTATATCATCACTTTATTTGATTCCTATTGTTGTTTACTCCAAGATCACCTGTGATGCAACTATTTAGTTGTCAAAAGTAGGTGAGCTTTTGTCCTCAGGCTAAAGTAGATTGTACAAATATCTTTTTTATAAACCACAATTAACCCCTTACAGTAAGTATCTGGATGCAATTTATTTTACATTTGAACATTCGTCTTATACAGGATTATTGATCTTTGGAAATCAGTGTTTTTCTTTAGAATCTTTTGTAACAGATAAACAAGGCACCTTCAAGCACCTGGAAATTGTACCCAAGAATGACCCAAAATCTTGGAGATTAACAGTTATCTTCTAGATATTTTATATAATTCTCTTGAAGTTTCTTTTGTTTCACCGAAGACGGTGTGTTTGAGGTTATGCTTGAAAAACAACAAAAAAAAAAAAACTCAACAACTCAATCTGAGGTTGAGGAAATGGTTCCCTGCTACTCTCTTGCTCTACATTTTATCCACAATTGCAAATGAAAAATGCATATTTCTGCAACGAGCTAGTCTGAATCTTCCCTCATCCTCCTCAGACAGTAAGCTTAACACTAAGTGCCCTCATATGCCTGCACCTAGGTCAAAACACTTAAATTTGTATTGCACTGATACCTTTATAGGGGTATATCAGCTATCAAACAGGACCAGCTTGTAAGTTTGTACACCTGTGCCAGTGGAGTTTATGTTTGTGATAAACGATATGCCCTTATTTCAACTTTGCTCTTCATGGACATGCCTCTGAGCTTATACAACCAAACACAGAGATCTTAATCAATCAAAAAAATCTCTCTGGATGAGTATGTCTTTACAAGGAAATTAAATATATGTGCATGTAATCATTTAAAACAACTACTTATGTATTGGATTAAAGCCATTGTCATTTACCTAAAAATAGATATATGTTATTACATACATACATATATTATATACATATACATATTACGAAATATGTTATTTTCTTATGTGCAGCATCAACAGATATATTGAGGTCCCTCCATGTTATAATTTCTTACGACAAAAATTCCCCTTAAATATTTTAATAAAGCACTTTTATGAGTGGCAAGGTTGAGTGTGGCAAATGAATACATCAACTTGTTTGCAATACTTCATACTTATTGCCCACCAACATCAATCATACCGACTGACGCATCAGTAAATACTCACCTCATTCCTAGAGGTGTGACAGCAAATATTTGCCCACATGTGGGGGCTTCTTGTAGTTCTTGCCAAGAGTAAACACACCGGTGTGGATGTAGAATAATAATGTGGTACACCTTAACAGCTGCTTGGTCACAGCTTATTAACAAGGTTTGAGAGTTCTCTTAAGCACTAATATGTCACTGTCAGCCTTCTTGCATACATACATACATACCTACATGCATATATAAATCTGTATGTGTATCTTTTTTCTTATGGTACTGCTATATTTTTTGGGGTATGTGTGTTTGTGTATGCACATGCTTGCAACACTGCTTTTTTGTTTTGTTTTATGTTGGTGTTGTTGAAAGATTTATATTGCAGTGTTACACCTCTATGAGTCGAGTCTTGTCTTGCCCATGTTTGCCAAGTCACAATGAATCAAAACACACAGTCTTTGTCC